TCATAGGCGGTGTACAGCCCTTTCACCACCCCATGAACGCCCTCTCGAAACACCTCAAAGTCAGGTCAACCAACCATCGACTACTGGACTTCTGGTGGAAAAATCTGTCGTGCAAATTCGACTGTCACGTTTGAATCGTGGATGATGGAATCTGCCTCTGTCATCGGTTTGTTCCCGATGAAAACTGAAAAGCTCAATGGGCGTGGTGGCCCACTGGCCTCACTTTGCGAACGAGGGGAGCTCCCCCATTGGCGCTTATCTTTTCTCGGTGACCTGCTTTGTCGACGTGGAGAGTGGCGCCTCTCATGTTCTGCAGATGCCCTACCTCCCGTACGGGAAGGCTTGCCACCGCGATTCATTGCTGAGTCCAGCTCAGCCAGCGTTCTGCCATCTCCCTTGCTGTTAAAGAATAGTCTAGCTGACATTCACACTTTTCCGGCCACGTTTGACGGACAAAATTGTGTTGCTTTTTGAAACACAAATGAAATCTCCCCCTCTTTTTAGTTACTCAAGAGTGCACCGCACTCCATAAGCCACTAATATTCGGCGTTATTGATTCGTTCCAAACTGGGGCAAGGGCAGATTCGTTAATCTTAACAGCTAAAGGATGGCCATTCGAATCGGCTAAATCCCTAAATCCCATGTCCTTATGCCGAAAGGATCACGTGCCTCAGTCATCTCACGAACCGTCAATATTTGGCGTTCCGGTTCATAACTAAGGCAAGGGCAGATTCGTTAATCTTAACGGCTAAAGGATGGCCAATCGAATCGGCTAAATCCCTAAATCCCATGGCCTTATACTGAAAGGATCACGTACCTTAGTCATCTCACGAACCGTCGATATTCGACGTTCCAATTCATAACTAAGGCAATGGCAGATTCGTTAATCTTAACGGCTAAAGGATGGCCAATCGAATCGGCTAAATCCCTAAATCCCATGGCCTTATGCCGAAAGGATCACGTGCCTCAGTTATCCACGAACCGTCGATATTCGGCGTTCCGGTTCATAACTATGGCAAGGGCAGATTCGTTAATCTTATCTAAGGCAAGGGCAAGGCCAGATATTTGTGCCGAAAGGATCATGTACATTCATATGCAAGGGTGTGCTCAGTTTATTCGACTAATTTGAAAGTCTAATCGCGAAGATACGCTGCTATCTCTTTAGCAATATTTAATTTATTTATCTTTTTAATGGAATGTTTATCTACCGCACAACAGACAGCAGTAGTCTTATCCAAAATAGGGAAAAAACAATAATCTTCATTGATAACAACAATTGCGTACAGACAATATTGCAAAGCAAGGGAAATTTTCATTCATAAATTGAACACAGATAGTCATCATTTTATACATGAAGATTACCCCAAGTAAATAGAAGCCTGCTAAGAAAACAAAACATGTTTACAAAAACATACACTTAAAATCCTAACAAAACTAAAGTGTCACCCAAATCAATCCTCGGGGTCAGACTCAAGCGGCTCAACGTCCACTTGCTCATATGGAATCGGCATGGCCAATGTCACATTAGCGGCGGCAAGGGCTTTGAGCTAGCCATGCTTGAATCCCCGATTCTCGAATTTGGGGACTTCTTTTACATAATTTGGAAGGGCAGAACTCTTCCTAGCCTCGAACGCTTTGGAAGCCTCGGAGTCTGCTATTTCTTTCGCCTTGTTCGACTCTTCCAATTCAGCCTCCAGTTTGGCAATCACCTCCTTGGCTAACTTGAGCGAACCTTTGTTGGCGTTTGCCCTCTCCTTGGCGGCCAATTTGAGCTGGTCAGAACTTCGCGCCCTTTCCGCCTCAGCTTCGACCCTTACACTTTCCATAGTTGCTCTCGCCGCCTCGAACTCAGCCGTACTCCTCTCACCCTGAACTTTCGATTTCAAACGGCCAATTCGTTCAATGGCGTCATGCTGGCGGCGGCCTACTTCGGTTATCCTTCTAATTACGGGTGAGCAGCGGATATACCGATCTACCAAAACCGACCGAACCAAACCGATCTACCGTATTTTGGACGGATGCGTGATGATGAGCGAACGGATGGCGGATTTGAGATTTCTTTGGCCGCAACCGAACCGCCAAACCGTGAGCATCTCTAGTAATTTATAAGATTTTGTGTTTTCAGTTTGTTTAAAATTATGTTTATGTTTTCAATTAAAAAAGAGTTTAAATATTCTGTTGAAAAAAAGTTTTCAATTTGAATATCTTTTTTGAATTGAAAAAAATAAAAGTATTATTTATCTATATATTTTGGTTTTTAAATTTATCTCAAAAAATAATAAATAGAAAATATGATATATGCTGGTTGGTTTTTGTTTTCAAAAACAGATATAGATATAACAATACAGAGACATACAATCTCTACTACTGCTCTGTTTATGGTTTTGGTGGTTTGAATTGTTTTTATATTTTAAGAACTACAGATTGTAATACTTTATGTGAATGAGGCATGCTACGATTGTAGTATGTGAATGAGGCATGAAGCATGCTGTGATTATAGTATGTAGATGAGGTATGCAGTGATTATGATATTCTAAAGTTTCAAACTTTCTTGCTTTGGACGAGGCATGCAGTGATTATAATTTTTTTTAAGTCATTGACTGTAATACTTTCTTCTTCTTTTTTTGAGGAAGTGCACAAGTGGAATTATGTTGAAAATTTATAAAATTTTAAACCGCCAAACCGATTCGCATCCATCTGCCAAATCGCCAATCCGCTCAATCCACATCCGCCGGATTGGCGGACGGATGCGGATTGATTTTCTCCAATCCGCCAATCTGGCGGATAGATGACGAATTGAAGGTTTCGTGGCCGCAATCGACCCGCGCCCACCCCTACTTCCGACCATTTGCAAAACAGAGTTTAAATCAAAACAAAACCAAAACAATATATGCAAAAAGCGGAAATTAGGATCAAGTCACATGCCAGAAAAGTCGACTGAGCAGCTAATGCTATTGCCAGCAAGTCCGGCTCCGCCCGAAAGGCTGCCTTGTCAGTCGGCAATGATACCGAGGCAGCCAAGCTCAACGCTGCGGCTGGATCTTTCAAGGCCGACGTATTAGAGGAGATCGGCACGTTTTTTTATCTTCGGTTGAACAACAAAAGGCGCAACCACATCCGACTCCTCTAAGCGCTACCATTTGTCAACGGGATTTTCCTCAGCGCCAACCACGCACTCGGCGAAACGTTTCTCCCCCCTCTAATCTTCTTGGCTTTGTCGTTCGACTTCCTACACCGTCTCGACCACCTCAATTTGGGTCGTTTCTTTTATAATAATAGGCTCAAGAGATTCAGTCGAAGGTTTGAAACGGATGTTCTCGGCTCTCCGCCGAGCGGCCATCTATTCTGCGTTTTTCCTTCGTGCCATTTGCGAGAGCGTTTCCCCAGCCATGTCCCCCGAATAGGAGCGGGGGAGATCTCCCAAACCAAAATATATATCTTTAAAAAAAACTTCCCCCCAACCTGAAGTGAAAGGAGGGTCGTCCTGATTAAGGCCTGCTGCTTCGAACGCCGAGTTAAGAGCCTCATCGACTTCAGCTTTTAAAGCAGACTGGCTCGGCTGTTCAGCGATCTCCTCGGTTACTGGCTCTTCGGCTTGGTCCGAATCAGAAGCTTCGAAACCAATCTGCCTAAGACTTTTGAAGTGAGGGAAGATGAGAGCCCTGAGATGCTGTTCGCCACGTGGAATCGGGATGTTTTCCATGGCCGAGAATGTTGTATAAGTTGGCTCGTACCTCAGGAGTATATGGGCGGCTCTCCCCTGCTTCTGGATATTGGGACGGCCAAAAAACTAGACCGCGGTTTTGATTTCCGCAAGAACAGCGTCGTCAACCGAAACCATAACTTTCTTCAAATGGTTGCCTACACAAATAAATAGATTACTTAGAGAGAAAGACGAGTAAACGAAGATTAGATAAGCAAAAAAAGCTACATGGCAACCTGGTTCGCCTCTCCGTCTAGGTATAAGGTCTAGGCAGTCTTCGCCCTCGCCGAATTCCCAATTACCTCAGACAATGACCATTACATCATCAACCCGCTTGCCAAAGCTGGCAAGCATAGTTACCAAGTGATGATCAGTGTCCTTTTCAGGTTGTTAGCTGAGGATCTCAAGCGTCCCAATGGATCAAAAGAGTATTTCCAAACCACATCCCCACAAAAAGTTATATAAATATATTTTTCATTTTGTGCATATAGTGTTTTTCTTTGGAATAGTGATTAGTTGTTGAGAATATTTAGAGTAAACTTTAACTAAAGTGATTAGATAAAATAAATAGTATTTTTAAATATGCACAAATAACATGGCAAATGCAAGTGATTGGTGAACTTTGTCACAATTATCCGCACATTAGACCATCTCTAACTTAAACTCAAATCTTTTATTAAATTTAAATTTGAAAAAAATTTGATAGTAACAGTATTCCAACCGTTTCATCAAATTAATATTAATTGAAGGGAATCCTGCTTTTTTCATCAAATTAAGGAAGCACTTAACCTTTAATCAAATCTCGCAGGTGACCATTGGTGGATGACCGGATGGTTGACTAGCTGGTCAACCGAGTGGCCGACCAGCCGAACAATCAGGTGGACTGGGAAAATTTTGAAGAAAATTTACACTAATCTGATCAACCTCTTAGACGTCGTCTCAATCGCCCTCCCAGTCAACTGGTTATTTGATGAAAATTAAAAATTTAACGTTGGAATACTTGGTATCAAATGAAGTTTTTAACCTAAGTCTTTATTCAAAATTTGATGAAAATAAATAAATAAAACAAAAGTAAGTGTTGCGGATGCTGTTCCTTGAAAGTTAGGTGCATCCAAAAGCAAAACTTTTACGTAACATGTAATTACCTAAATATTCCGTCCAAAAACGATTCTTACATACTCACTTATTTCCACGTGTCACTGTAACATACACAAATCACTCCAGCGAAGATCCTCTAGAATCAGAGAAATTCTCCGATACGGGTTTCACCGGAGACAATGGTGGAGGAGATTCATGATCATCATCATCACCTCTGATTCAAACCACTTACAAAATCCCCAAAGACTCATTCAATTTAGCCTACACAATCTATTTCACTTTCAGCTCCGCCTTCTTCCTCTCCTGGAACGCCTTCCTCACTGTTATCGACTACTTTTCCTACCTCTACCCTCATGTCTCTGTGGACCGCCTCTTCACAATCATCTACAAGCCCGTCGGCCTCTTCTCTCTCTTCTTCATCGTCGCATATGCCCACAAACCCTGTTCTTACCTTCGAGTCAATGTGGGTTTGGCTCTCTTTGCCCTTTCTCTCCTCGTCGTCCCTGTCATGGATGTGGCTTACATTAAGGGTCGCACGAGGTTGTATAATGGGTTCTATGTGACCGTGGCGGCGGTGGCAATTTCAGGTGTGGGATGTGGGTTGGTGCAGGGTGGGATCGTTGGGGCCGCCGGAGAGTTACCAGAGAGGTATATGCAGGCTGTTGTCGCCGAGAGTGGAGCTTCAGGTACTGTTTATGTTTTTGACAATGCATATTGTTTTGGGGGAGTTTTGACAATGCTGCTTCATCTTTTTTTATTTATTTATTTATTTTATTTATTTTTTGTAATCGAATTTGGATAAATAAAAATTGGTTATAAAGGTTGATTTGATATGGGATGTTGCAATAGCTTTTCATCAATTAAGTTTGATTTGGTAAAAAAAAAAATGAATGCTCCAATTCTCACTTAAAAATTTTATCAAACATTTTTTTAGAAATTCTAAGTTTATACCCAAAAGGTTCTTTAATCAAATTTGATGAATTTTTTTTTCCTGATTTGATGAAAAAATGATTTCATATAAGTTTGATCAAATTTTTTATTAAATTTAAATTTAATAAAAAATTTGACAAAAAGTTGAATATGTATGCCAAATTTTCATGAATTAAAGACTCATGTTGATTGCTTTGCTCTTTGCGAAGATTTGGCGAACATTAGGTCCTTGTTTTAGAAGCCTGCTAAATATCCCAACCTTTCTACTTTAGACTCCTCACTTTTGTGAACTCCCATAACCAAAATTCCTTCCTTCTTCATTTTTCTTCGGAACCCTACCATAATCCCAACTATACCCTCACCCCAACATTTTGTCTTTCTTCTTTCACGTCATCGGTCTCTCAACCATAACCCACTTCAGCCGATGACCTCCTCTGCCATCACACAGCCCCATTGGCAGCTTCCCCATCGTCACACTCTCATCCCCAGACTAGACCCACCACCACCACCACCACCTCTCCCCCATCCACCATCCTATACCAACCCCTCATTGTCGTTGCTCCCATTCACTCCAACAAGGAGATAGGGAGAGTCTCCTCCATCTAGTCTCGCCGACCGACCTCCTCTTCCTCGTTCTTCTTCTTACTGCTTCGCTCTTCTCTCCTCCTCATCCTCCTCCTCCTCCTCCTTCTCCTCTACTTCTTATTTTCCCAAGACCCTAACAGTCGAACAAATTCTTTACGTTCAACACTATGTTACCAAACCAAAAGGATTCGTTCAGCACTTTGTTGTCAAATCCACTCCGCCATCGTGACCTCTCATTCATTGAGAGAGAGAAATGTTGGACAATCTTCACTGTATTTAAAAAGATTAAATTCTGTTGTGTACAAAACAACAACAAGAATATAAAGAAATAAAGAAAATGAGAGAATTTGTTTGATTACAAAAATCAAACTCGAAATAAAAATAAATAAATAAAACCACAGATTTTATTTTGTTACAAAAACAAAAAAAAAAACTGATTAAATAAACAAATAAAAACCAGAATAAAATTAAACAACTTACTTGGTTAATTTATTTGAATAACTTTTCTGATCAAGTCCAGTGTTTAACACTGTGTCCTTAAGACAGATTCGTCCTCTCCACGGTGCTTTCAGAATTTGGACGTCTATCTCCCAGGATGAAATGATCTACTACAAACAATAGCAGCACTACAAATTGTTTGCCTAAAGGTGGCTTTTGGATTTGAATTGAACAGGTATGAAACCTGTTAGATTCAAATTTAAACAGATTTGAATATGTTTATTCAAACAGATAGAAACGGGAAGGGCTCTGTTTGGATGTACAGAAAATCCAAATCAGTTTAATTTGAATTCTGGATTTTATTTTAATAAAAAATAAAATAAAATTCAAA